CTGTTTTAAAAAGACCTATGAGTTTTATGAAGCCGTTTTACACCGCTCCAGAGTTTCGGGAATAAAGAGAAAAACACTCAGTCACAAACAGAAATATATTTTTACAGCAGCAAAAGGCCTAAAATGAGACTATAGATCTCCTGCTAATACAGGGAACCTTCAGCAATGCCTCCCCACGTGCCAGCACGAACAAGACCCAGCCATGGGGATGGAGACCACGCACCACTTAAAGACAAAAAATACATAACCCGCAGGAGGCGGTTCTGGATCTTTTCCCAGATGGATTCTTGTTTTGACAGTGCCACAGACATGACAGATGTGCTACTTTTTAATTGTTTGTGCTTGAGCTTTATCCCTCTTTTTTTTTTTTTTTTTTTTTTTTTTTTTTTTTTTTTTTTTTTTTTTTTTTTTTTTTTTTTTTTTTTTTTTTTGTGAGATTTTTGATAGAAAATGCATCTTCTGGCCATTTTCTTCTTTTCCTCGTCATCTGAAGTTGTTTTTGGTGCTTTCTCCCTCCAGCCCAGGGTGACCGAAGAGTTTGGATGGGCCTTTTAAAGGCCTCTTCTCCACTTCTAGAACTATAAAATTTCCTTAACAGATACTTCAGAAACACTACTCAAACCTAGGAAAGAAAGAATAAAGACTTAATGATGAAACCAGTGCATTTAAAGGCAGGTGACTTGCAGAGCCACGTATTAAATCCACGAGAAAGGCAGTGATTTGAGCGCGGGGAGTTGCATGGGGTCAACTCGACGGGCCTAAAACGACCTCTTTCATAGGAATAGTGCTGAAATCAACCCGGCGGGCGCTGCTGGATGAGGGGAAGCCAGCTGACATGTAAATATGTGCAGAGAGCAATGTGCCGTCTGCATCTATAAGCGGGTGCCCGCAGCGGGAGCTCGGCGCTCCCAAGGACGGACCTCCATGGGCTCCGAGGCCGCACGCAAGCCCCAGTTGCTTCATCAACAGCCTGCAATTCACTGAGAAAGGGACACTTGAGTGTTTGGGCCATGTCTTTTGTTCAGCTCATCACAGAACCACAGAATGGTCAAGGTTGGAAGGGACYTCTAGAGATCATCTAGCCCAACCTTCCTGCTCCAGCGGGGACACCCGGAGCACGGGGCACAGGCTGGTGTCCAGGCGGGTGCTCATAATGATTCTATTAAAATGGATCTGTTCTTCCCGTGTCAATGTTTTAGTTGCAGGTTGATAGTTCTTGAGAAAACCAAAGCCCCCGTTGATGCCCTCCGTGTCCGGAGGCTTCGCTCCGGCCTGGCTGGTGCCTCTGCTCCCGCCAACTCTGCGCTGCAATGGACTCTCTGGGACACGGGAGGGAGCTGCAGTGCCGCAAACCACATTTTTTTTTTTTTTTTTTCCAAATCTGGCTCTTTTTTGCACCGCTTGCCATGCCCGTGGCCACTGGACGAGCGCTGAGCAGGGGCCTGGGCCGCGGGCCCAGCAGCCCCGCCGCGAGCCGCCCCATGGGCTCCTAGGCGCCGTCCCAGCAGCTCCACAAGCGTTTCAGCGCCCACGGCGCCCGCCCTCTGCCCCAGCGCCTGGGCACCATGTGGGTTTTGCCATCTTGCTCATGGCTTTCCCCATTTTCCAGAGCCTTGTCCCAGGGGGGACGAGCGGCAGTGTCTGCCCCTCCGCCAGCCTTTCCATGTCCCCCTGCTCAGCGTGCACGGCAGGATGGGCTCTGCCCCAAAAAGCGTATTTTAGTGGTGAAAACAGGMCAGGTGGAGATCAGGGAGGCACAGGATGAAGCGGGCAGGGAAGAGCAGCGACCTGGACATAAGGGGTACAGGGACTAGCTCCCACGCACGCTCAGCAACACTGTGGGAATTCCAGTACTTATTAAATCTGGGGGAAAACTTAATATCCAAAGGGCGCCGTTGGGAGGAAACCCTACGGGGAACGCATAGCCGGGGGAACGCTGGGGCGGGGGGCGCGGGGCCGGGGGGACTCGGGGGCGGCGGCACAGCTCCATGGCAACGGCCCTGGCGGCTCCATGGCAACGGGCCGGGGGCGGTGACCGCCCCGCCCTCCCCGCAGCGGCACCGCCCGCGCCGGAAGTGACGCGCCAATCAGGGCGCCGCACTCCCTCGGCGGCYGCCGCGAACAAAAGGGATTCGCGGCCCCCCCGCTGCGCCCCGCCCCCGACGCCGGACAGGCCGCCCAATCAGCGTCGCCGCCGGCGGCCGGC